GGGCCCCGCCCCGTGCTCCCGTGGCCAGGAGCCGAGCAGCGTGCGGGGCAGTAACGCCCGCAGCCCAGGGAGGGTGGGAAGACAGCAGGGTCCTCGCCTGGAGAGAGTTTGGAGCTGCGACCCCAACGTAAGCCATGCTTTAGGCTGGTTTTAATTACAGAGTCAGAGAATGGTTTGGGTTGGAAGGGGCCTCAAAGATCCAACCCTTACGAGCCAGTTCAGTGATTTTAGGACAGAATTTGGGCAGTATCACCTCGTAGGGCAGTTTTCCAGAAGGGAAGGTGTTTAAATCCTCCCAACAAAGGAAAAAAGGGGCCTGGCTAACTAACGGGCGCTCCAGCGGTGCCCGCGTTTCTCAGGGCTCTCTTCTGCCCCTTTCCCACACTCAGAGACGAAACCGGCGCTCGGCCTCGGCTGTGCCACGCACACGGACACGCAGCCCCGGCGACGCCGCAGGGGCAGGAGGGGGAAACACGGCCCCGGTTCTTCAATCACAAGTCATTCACATCAGAGAGGTTCCTTCCAGGCGGGCTGAGATAAAACCCAGCTCGGGGGCATCAAACCCCCATTCCCAGTGCCGCAGTCCCTCTTCTCCATGCGCTGGGGGCAGGGAGTAAGAGAACCCCCTTTTTCCCCTGCCTGGTTTGAGGACAAGCCCCCCTCGGCTCCAGCTTGCCTCGGGGGCTGCCTGCCCGCCCCTCGCTGGGGTTTACAAACACCCCTGGGTGCTGCTCCAGGAGATTCAGCCTGGGAAGCCACCCGGCAGCGGCCGCACCTTTCGAAGGCTCCCTCCGAGCTTCACCCCTTTCCGCATACACCGGCTGCTCCTCAAAAGCGCTGCCATCGCATCAACCCACGCTGCACCGTAAATTCTATACAGTGCCCTGGCAGAGCAATCCGCATCACCTCAGCCACACGCGCCAGATGAGGAATCTGTCCAGACGCCATCATCTGCCCTGGGAAATCAGAAGTTGTAAACCCCAACAACTTCTCGTGGCTTTAGCAACTTCTCTAAGGTCAGCAGCCGCTAAAACGTATACGGTTCTTCCCCAGCCAGAGCAGTATACGTGCGCCGATGGAGCCACCGGCGGAAGCAGGTGATGTAATCTGCTGCACGGTACTGATGCAACGCGCGCCGGCAGCAAGCCCGGGAAGCAGTGCGACACCGCTGCCTTCTGGTTTTCCCCAAAAAGGAAAAACTCTGTCCTGGAGATGAATCACAAGGAGCGACACTCATGGCGGAGCATTACAGAAGTTCAGCATCAAGTGTAGGAAAAGTGAAAAACACGGTCTTAACTGCCTGTAACTCCCACTAACGTGGGAACTTCCAGTTATTTCCAAGAAATCAAGGTGCACCTATCTGCTTTCCACTGGTTCTCCTTCCTACAAACCACCTACAGAAACCTTTAACAGGCGACCTCACACCTTGCCCTGGGTAACACCTTTGCTGTGCGCCACTGAAGCTTTTTTTTTTTTAACCCACTTCACAAAAGCGCAGCAAGGCAAAAATGTCGGTTTTGCCGGATTGGACTTTGCACAAATCCAAGCCCGAGATCCAAACACTGCAATGTTTTAGGAGCTATGCACACAGACGCGCTCCCTCGTGCCCCGGTCCTAGCTCAGTACAGCCCCCACTGATATATTAAATATTTCTTAGAGCTGCATTGCAAGGCGCGCGGAGGATCGCTGGCTGCGAAATCAGACTTCAGGAGAATTTTTGGGGGGGG